CTAGGGACTTATTACCAGACATTACGTGGTCCGAGTCAGAACTCTGTTTCATTGGGCTAAATAAGTCTTGCATCTACTCGATGTATATTCCAAATACTAAACAAAATGGTCAGAGAAGGAGATACTGACTTCAAGACTATCCAAAATATAATCAGAAACTCCTATGTTTAACTAATTTATGATTTCATTAAAGGTGAATATTCAATGGCTGTTCAAATGTAGTGAATGTTCAGGTCATGTAAAGCATCACGAGAAAAATATTTGAAATTTTGGGACTTTTGGGTTCGACAACCCTTAGCATATCATATCAGATATATCATATTTCGATGTACCCCGAGCGTCGTCGGTAGTCGTCGGCGCAGATAAGTTCAGTGAACTGAATATGCAGTAATTAGCCCAACTTATCGCAACGTATCATCTTGCTTCGTTTTCTTACTACCTCTGACGAGCTCCAGTAGTGGAATGTGGAATTAAGGAGAGGAACAAATTGCCCAAAAGAGATTTCTTATTACACGATGCATGCATGCCTCTTATTCTCCTTACATCTCTATATATGCTGCTGAGTACTTAAGCTATATCGTATGGCTTTCTCCAGTACTCAGTTTGCTAAGATTGATTCATATTTGAATCTTTGAAACATTACCTGTAACATGGAAGCAAATATGGCAGCATTCTTTGTGGCGACGATCTGTTTTGTAGCCAACTTTATTACACGATCAGCATGAGAACAAGCTGCCAACTGCACAGACGTGGACCAGAGGTTACCGCGGCTTTTCAAATGAGCTTCCAGCAAGGACTCCTGACAAAAGAAGTTATAAGAAGTTTTTGAGCAATATGCTTTAAAGCTGTCTACCTCTCGAGTGACGTTGTGAGTAAAAAAGTAATGGCATACAGCTGTTACTTGCTTATGAATGTCGTCATTGAGAGAGTTTGGGAATCTCACCCAGCGCTCGGCCTGCAGTTGGAGAAACATTTACATTGTTTGATTGGTTTGCAGAATTATATTTCAGAATTTCTCGACTAACCCAAAAGATTACTGGATTTTCAAATTTGTGCACACACGAGCAGTACTTTTTCGCTCTGCTCTCCTCATTTTAAACGCACTAGGCAGTATAACGTTCCTACCTGAGCTTGTTGGTCGCATGTTGGAAGATTTGTCATACACCTCAGGTGATAAAGCTTTGATAACCTAGAAATATGAACTGAATTTTGAATTCTTCTGTTGTCAAAACAATCACCTAGTAGGGTCAATCAGCCACAAGGCGGCCAACTCCGTGTCAGATTGACTTTCGTCCAACAGCTTATCAAACTGTGATACAGCTGCAGCAAAATACAACTGTAGTTCTGGTATATTCACCCCTCGAAATGAGTCAAAAAGTCGGTGAATCGCATTCATCCCAATCAGAGACACTCCTAAGTCGGTTTCGTCTGCTAGATACCTTGAAAAAATAGCAAACATTGTGTTAACGTTATGAATGTTAACTTTAACGAAAACAGTCATCATATAAATTGGTAGAAAAATACCATTTTTAATTGGGTTAACCATTATTGTTATTGTTTATATTTCACGCATTCAAACATTTATCCATCCTTTTTATTCGTAAATGCATTTTGCTTGATGATGCGAAATTGTGCCACCTGTGAGAGCTTTGA